ACACTCTCCATAGCAAACCATCGAAACAGGGCACCCTGGATGCAAGCAGGGTGTTTCTCGACATGGGTTTCCATTGTAAGACGAGGCCAGGACAAGGATAAATTCGGGTGAGGATGAATCGCGAATCTCTGCGATCAGGCGGCTCTGGACGATGTCTCGGGCCCCGCGGCCTTCTCAGAGCGATATGGACCGCTGCGAGAGCGTTCCGGAACGCTCCGAAACGGAAGTATCCGCGTCCTGGCCCCACGAGACGATGTTCCCGTCGACCCAGGCCGCCATCGGCCCGAAGTGCAGACCCTCCCCTTCGGTCTCTTCCGCGCGGGGGGGGGAGAGGGAGGAGGAGGAGGAGGAGGAGGAGGAGGAGGAGGAGGAGGAGGAGGAGGAGGAGGAGGAGGAGGAGGAGGAGGAGGAGGAGGAGGAGGGAGTGGAGGAGGAGGAGGAGGAGGAGGAGGAGGAGGAGGAGGAGGTGGGCGAGGGGGCCGGCACGGGAGCCCTCTGAGCTGCCCGGGTCCTGTGCGCTCTGCGCGAGGTCGACTTCTCGCCGCAGCGGTCGCAAGAGAGCGCCAGAGAAAGGGCCCAGAAGCTCGACCCGGGAGGCCCCCAGGATGGGCAGGCCCTTTGCTGAGTTCGGGCAGGTCCCCCCACAGGCAGAGTCTGGAAGAAGCATAAAAACATGCCCAACAAAGATGCAAACCCATTCAAAACATAGAAAAAAAACGTCCCAGACTATGTTTGAACAACTGTTCCCCACATGTCTCGTAGGGGTTCTGGTTTTCCCCAGCCGCGTCGCACCCGCGTCTCCCGCACACACCTCCCTCTCCCCCGCAGAGCGTGGCAGACGTGACATACATACATACATACATACATACATACATACATACATACATACATACATACATACATACACACATACATACATACATGCATACATACATACATACATGCATGCATGCATGCATGCATGCATGCATACATACATACATACATACAGACAGACAGACAGACAGACAGACAGACAGACAGACAGACAGACAGACAGACAGACAGACATACACACATACATGTATGCATGCATGCATGCATGCATGCATGCATACATACATACATCCATACATACATACATACATACATACATACATACATGCATGCATGCATACATACATGCATGCATACATACATACATACATACATACATACATACATCCATACATACATACACACATACATACATACAAATACACAGGCACACCGACACAGACACATACACACAGACACACAGACACACACAGACACACACACACACACACACGCACATACACTCCCTCACCCACGCGCAACACCTGCACGGCACGTACATGAGACATGCGTAGCACACTTCACAACACAGCGCAGCGCAGCACAACACAGCGCTGCTCAGCACAGCTCAGCTCGGCACAGCACAGCACAACTCAGCGCAGCAGAGCACAGCGCGCATGACACGCCATACACACCACGCACGTGTAGGATGCGCAGGGCACGGCAGGAGTGGCACTTCCTCGACACCATCGGGGGTGCGCAGGAGGTGGTCCCTGAGCGCGGCCGCTATCCGAGCCCGTCGTCCACGGCATAGCAGGAATGGCACTTTCCCGACGCTGTAGGGCACTGTTCCGACACCATAGGGGGTGCGCAGGGGGTGGTCCCTGAGCGCGGCCGCTATCCGAGCCGGTTGTCCACGGCAAAGCAGGAATGGCACTTCCTCGACACCATAGGGGATGCGAAGGAGGTGGTCCCTGAGCGCGGCCGCTATCCGAGCTGGTCGTCCAGGGCACAGCAGGAATGGCGCTTTCCCGACACCATAGGGGATGCGCAGGAGGTGGTCCCTGAGCGCGGCCGCTATCCGAGCCAGTCGTCCAGGGCAAAGCAAGAACGGCACTTTCCCGACACCATCGGAGGTGCGCAGGAGGTGGTCCCTGAGCGCGGCCGCTATCCGAGCCGGTCGTCCAGGGCAAAGCAGAAGTGGCACATTCTCGACACCGTAGGGGGTGCGCAGGGGGTGGTCCCTGAGCGCGGCCGCTATCCGAGCCGGTCGCCCAGGGCACGGCAGGAGTGGCGCTTTCTCGACACCATAAGGGCTGCGCAGGAGGTGGTCCCTCAGCACGGCCGCTATCCGAGCCGGTCATCCAGGGCATAGCAGGAGTGGCGCTTTCCCGACGCCGTAGGGGGTGCGCAGGGGGTGGTCCCTGAGCGCGGCCGCTATCCGAGCCAGTCGTCCAGGGCAAAGCAAGAACGGCACTTTCCCGACACCATCGGAGGTGCGCAGGAGGTGGTCCCTGAGCGCGGCCGCTATCCGAGCCGGTCGTCCAGGGCAAAGCAGAAGTGGCACATTCTCGACACCGTAGGGGGTGCGCAGGAGGTGGTCCCTGAGCGCGGCCGCTATCCGAGCCGGTTGTCCAGGGCAAGGCAGGATAGCACTTTCTCGACACCATAGGAGGTGCGCAGGGGGGGGTCCCTGAGCGCGGCCGCTATCCGAGCCGGTCGTCCAGGGCAAGGCAGGAGTGGCACTTTCTCGACACCGTAGGGGGTGCGCAGGAGGTGGTCCCTGAGCGCGGCCGCTATCCGAGCATGTTTCGTGGGGTTCTAGGCCGAGCTCCCAGCACGATTTTGTAACACCTCGGGGTCGTCAGCGTGGCACGCTGGCGTGGCACGCTGTCGATGGGCGCGTTGCGCGCTGCAGCACTGGGTCGCCGAGGCGGTAAGGGAATGTTGTCGGCCCAGCGGCCTTGCAGAGCAGCCAGTCGGTTCGGTTGCTTGATGGCTGCCACGGCGTATCGGAGACCCCGACTCACAATCGGGGCATCCTGGTTAGTATATCAATGGCGAGGGGGAGAGGAGGAGGAAGAGGAGGAGGAGGCTATCATCACTCCAGCCATAATATAAGTATGTGGGGTTCCTCGGTAGCGTAATTGAATACTCCTCCTGACGTGCCCGACTTAGCCCTATGGAGGGGGGGGCCCAAAGGCGCGCCACGCTGGCACCGCTTGGGCCCCTCCCCGCCGTGTGCAAGAGCCCCGAGGGGCCTGAGGCGGCCGAAGACGCACGCACGCGGGCCACGTGAGCACCCCTCCTCCTCCTCCTCCCCCTCCTCCCCCTCCTCCTCCTCCTCTCTCCTCCTCCTCCTCCTCCTCCTCCACCTCCTCCTCCTCCTCCCCCTCCTCCTCCTCCTCCTCTCCTCCTCCTCCTCCTCCCTCCTCCTCCTCCCTCCTCCTATCCTCCTCCTCCTCTCCTCCTCCTCCCTCTCCTCCTCCTCTCCTCTCCTCCTCCTCCTCCTCCCCTCCTCCTCCCCCTCCTCCTCCCCCTCCCTCCCAGATGTCCCCACGGATTCTGGAACACGACCCAGTGCGGTGGCGGGTTGGGCCGAAGACCACAAAAAAGTTCGCCCTTGCAGAAAGCCTATCGCTAGCCTTCGCCTCTTGCGCCCGAGCGCTTCACTTCTCAGGGTCGGCGGAACTGGCCGCAAGGCCCCAGCCATAACCTCTCTTCCGTCTCGCTCGCAAATGGACGGCAACATTGGGAACCGTAAGGCACGCAAGAGCACGGCCGACAAAGCAGACAATACGGGTTTATCATCTTGCACAGTTTGTGTTCTAGAGCTCGGACCTCTTTATGTTCGTGGTTCGTCGTCGTTCCCCTGGCCCTGGTTTCCCATCCTCGTCGTCGTCTCCCTGCCATGCATCCCCCCGCGCCCCAACCCGGACCTCTGGCTCCTGGCCCCCTCGCTCCCGTCCTCCTGCCCTGGCCCTGAACTCAGCCTCCCTCCTTGACTCTGGCGTCCCCTGGCCCTGGCCCCAGCCCCCCTCGCCCCGGACTATTTATCTTCGTGGTTCGCCGTCGTCCTCCTGGCTCTGGCCTGCTTCTCCTGGCCCCCTCGCCCCCGTCCTCCTGCCCTAACCCTGAACCCAGCCTCCCTCCTTGGCTCTGGCGCCCCCCCTCGCCCCCGGACCCTTTATTTTCGTGGTTCGTCGTCGCCCCCCTGGCTCTGGCCTGCTTCCCCTGGCCCCCCCGCCCCCGTCCTCCTGCCCTGGCCCTGAACTCAGCCTCCCTCCTTGGCTCTGGCGCCCCCTGGCCCTCGCCCCGGCCCCCCTCGCCCCCGGACCCTTTATTTTTGTGGTTCGTCGTCGTCCCCCTGGCTCTGGCCTGCTTCCTCTGGCCCCCTCGCCCCCGTCCTCCTGCCCAGCCTCCCCCCTTGGCTCTGGCGCCCCCCCTCGCCCCAGATCCTTTATTTTCGTGGTTCGTCGTCGCCCCCCTGGCTCTGGCCTGCTTCCCCTGGCCCTCCTCCTGTCCTCCTGCCCTGGCCCTGAACCCAGCCTCCCTCCTTGGCTCTGGCGCCCCCTGGCCCTGGCCCTAGCCCCCCTCGCCCATGCCTTTTTATTTTCGTGGTTGGTGGTTTGTCGTCGTCTCCCTGGCTGTGGCCCGCTTCCCCTCGCCCCCGTCCCCCTGGCTGTGGCCCGCCCCCCCTCGCCCCCTCGCACCAAACCGGACCTCTGGCCTCTGGTCCGAGCCCCAGCCATCTGGCCCTGGCTGAACTCAGCTTGTTTCCTGGCCTTGGCCCCACTCGCCCCGACCCTGGCCTTCGCCCCAGCCCTCCTCGCCTTGACCGTGTATTTTCGTGGTTCGAACCTGGACCTCTGGCCCCTGGCCCGAGCTTCAGTCCCCCTGCCCTGGCCCTGGACCCCCACTCGCCCCGACCCTGGCCTTGGCCCCAGCCCTCCTCGCCCCGGACCCTTTATTTTCGTGGTTCCGTCTCCCTGGCTCTGGCCCCCCATCCCCTGGCCCTCTCGCCCCCCGCATGCCCCTCCTCCTCATTCTCTCCTCAAATGTGCAAGAGCCAGGGCACGCGGGCCACTTGTTGTGATAGTTGATGCGGACCCATCTCAAGAGACTGTGGCATTGTGACACTGTCACGCTGTGGGGATTGAGCATGGGCCAACCCCACTACAGCGTCGCAGTGTGGCATTATGACGCTGTGAGATTGGATCTGGGCCAATGACACGATGATGTGTGACATGGTGAAATTGGGAGATTGGGTCACTGGCCATGGGCACCAAGCCACTCTTACTCTAAAGCGCGACGTTGTGACATTGTGATCTTGGATCTGGGCCAGTCCTACATGTGAGTGCGACATTGTGGCATTGTGACATGAGACCTGGGCCGACACCCTTATCTCATGATGCTAACGGCATTGTTGCAGAATTGTGGCGGTGTGTCATTGGAGGCGGAACAACGTCGCAGTGCCACCATGCCAATGGCCGGGCCTGCCAGCCTGGGCGGCCGCTCTTTTCTGCTGCTCCCCGCGACCGAGGCACCTCGCACGACTCGTCGCTCAACACGCAGCCCACTGAAGCCTGCGTGCCCGGCTCCACCGGAGGCGCCGACGGTGAAGATGACGCGCAGAGTCTCGGAGGCGGCAAACGAACAAGAGGGCTCCGCGCACGAGGACAATCAGGGGCAACGACTGGGGGCGACATCGAGCTGGCATCGGCAGCACTGTCCTGGATGGCGAATCCGTACGCTCCCTGGCCGGGTGGGCTACCGGGCCCCACCAATCGGTAATCGACTGGGGGTCGACGCCTGCTGCCCGAGCCGAATGATGCCCCTGACACGAGTGAGAAGGCGAAAACCCACCCCCACCCCCAGTCCCGACTCCATCCCCGAACCCGCGATTCAAGGAGTCGGGACTGGGGGTGGGGGTGGGCTTTCGGGGTCCAGGGATGGAGGAAACCCACCCCCACCCCCAGTCCCGGCCCCTTGAATCGCTGGCTCGGGGATGGGCGTCGGGACTGGGGGTGGGGGTGGGTTGTCGCCTTCTGAACGAGGGCACGACGATGTCCCTGGCGCTTGCCTGCGCTGCCACCAGGCGCGGGACACCTCGCGGACGGAGAGGATGCGAGGCGGGGACTTCGCCACGCCCACCGCCTGGGAACTGACGTCCTGGTGCCCCAGCGGCCGGTGGATCTGGATATATATGTTGGCCCCCGGGGGGCTCGAATATCTCCATGTCCACCGCCTGCCGAGGTCCCCGAAAATCGATCCTCCAGGTGGTGGTCCTGTGTACGCTCCCGCCTCGGAGACGAGGGCGCTTGGTGCGCGGGCGGCCGTCCGCGCGGTCCTCGGGTTCCGCCGCCGCCCCAAGCGAAGGCGTCGCCAGAAGCTCGGCAGCTTGACTCGGGAGGACGCCAACTGTACAGTGGGAGCTCGACCACAGGAAAGCTTCCACAAGAAGCCCAGCCCTGAGACCCCGGGGCGTCCACTGACTTCCTTGGCGCGGGAACGTCGCGCTGCTCCGCAGCGAGGCCATCGAGGCTCGAAGCCCAAGAAACCCAGGGCCCCCCTGGAGGCAAGCAGGGCGCCTCTTGGCGTGGGTTTCCACCGTGCACCTGCGCCGGCCCTGGTGAGGCCCGTCCTGGCCGGGAGGAGGAGGAGGAGGAGGAGGAGGAGGAGGAGGAGGAGGAGGAGGAGGAGGAGGAGGAGAGCAGGAGGAGGAGGAGGAGGAGGAGGAGGAGGAGGAGGAGGGAGGAGAGGGGGGGGGGAGGGGGAGGGGGAGGGGCCAGGGGGAGGGGAGGGGGAGCGCTTGCGCCCTCTTGGCCTGGCCAGGAAGGAGCACGCGCCAGTCCTGGGCCAGGAGCGGCGCGCATCCCCAGTGTGCTCGCCTAGCGCAGCCGCCGCCTTTCTTCCTGCACGCGACTGGCTTTGCGTGGCTTTCCCTCCTGCATCGTCATGCGGGATGGACGCCAAGGGTGCCCCGCCTTAGCCCTCGCTGCAGCAGCGTCACTCGGCCGCTGGATGAATCTACACACATGTGTGTGTGAATGTGTGTGAATGTGTGTGAGTGTGTGTGAATGTGTGTGTTTGGTGTGTGTGTGTGTGTGGTGTGTGTGGTGTGTGTGGTGTGTGTGTGGTGTGTGTGGTGTGTGGGGGTGTGCGTGTGGATGTGTGCGCGCGCGTTTGTGTGTGTGTGAATGAATGAATGAATGAATGAATGAATGAATGAATGTATGTATGTATGTATGTATGTATGTATGTATGTATGTATGTATGTATGTATGTATGTATGTATGAATGAATGTATGTATGTATGTATGTATGTATGTATGTATGTATGTATGTATGTATGTATGTATGTATGTATGTATGTATGTATGTGTGTATACAGTTCGCGTCCCCCGATTGGCTGGTGGGCAGACTTTCCCAGGCCCACCAGGCCTGCTGCACTGAAGGGGCGGGCGCCCGCTTCCCCAGCAAGAACAACAAACAATTAAAATAAACTGCGCGTACGCAGGCCGCCGGGGCGCTGGTCTCTGGACACCTGGCGCGCCCGCCAGTATTCAGGAAAACAGACTGCGCGCGCAGGCCGCCAGGGCGCTGGTCTCTGGACACCCGGCGCGCCCGCCGGAGTTCAGGAGGAGGTTGAGGACCCCCATTGCAGAGGGGGGCGGGGGAGGAAGGCGGGTAGGATACCAGGAGGAAGGGCGAGGGAGGAGGGGCGGGGGGGAGGAAGGAGGGAGCAGGGCGAGAGGAGGGAGTGATTAGGAAGGGAATGGTGACAAGGGAACAGCATGGAGGGGGGGCGACGTGCCCAGGGAAGGCGCCGATGGAACGACCAGGGGTGTCTTCCTCCTCTTCCTCTTCTTCCTCCTCCTCCTCCTCCGCGTCTTCCGTTTCCTCCTCCTCCTCCGCAAGGAACCTTTTGTGAAGGATGTCAATAGGAACGTTTTAAAGGATGGCAATAGGAATCGTCTTGTAAAGCATTTCAAGAAGAATCCCTTCTCAACAAAAATTCAATAGGAATATGGGTGTAAAGAATTTCAATAGGAATCCTTTAGTTTTCAAAAGCTTTCAATATGATTCCTTGTGTCCAGGGTTTCAAATAGAATTATGATGGGAAGGCTTTCACATGAAATTCTTCTGTGAAGGATTTCAATCGGAATCCTGTCGTGGGAATTTCAGTGGGAAACCTTTTGGAAATAGTTCTCAACATGAGATCGTTATGTGAAGGATTTCAATGCGTACGTTCGATGAACGGATATCATTGGGAACCTCTTTTGTGAATAAATTTCAATAGGAATCCTTTTTGAGAGGAGTTGAAATTGTAATGCACTTGAAAAGGCTGAAACTAAGAATCAGTTTTAAGGATTTCAGTCGGAAACCGTTCGATAAAGGCTTTCAACAGGAATCGTTGTGTAAAGACTTTCAATTGGGATCCTTTTGTGGAAGATTCCACTGGGAATCCTTTTGCAAAAGGCGCTCACTAGGAACCCTTTCTGGAGGAATCCAATTTAATTAGGAGATCCTCTTGTGAAGGATGTCCATACGAACGCTTGATAAAAAGGATTACAATAGGAATCCGTTTGTAAAGGATTCCAAGGACCCTTTCTCAAAGAATTGCCATAGAAATCCTGCTGTGAAGGATTTCGACTTTCAATCGGAATCCATTCGAAAACGCTTTCACTCGGAATCCTTTGGAGTCGGATTTAAATGAAATCCTTATGTACAGGATTTCAATGGGAATCCTTTCGTGGAGGGTTCCAATCAGAGTCTTTTTGTAAAGGCTTTCAATCGGAACGCTTTTGTCAAGGATTTCAATATGAATCCTTTTCTGAAGAATGTCACTTGTAATCCTTTTGAGAAGAATTCCACTTGGAATGCATTTGAAAAGGCTTTCAATAGGAACCCTTTCGTAGAGGATTCCAATACGAACGCTGCGTAAAGGATTCCAACACGAACGTTTGATAGAGGATATCAGTGTCGACAAGAGGATAAGGAAGAATGGAGGAGGAGGGGAAGAGAAGAACAGGGCACGGAGCCCCTCGGTGATCTGGAGCGTTAATCCCCTCCTCCTCTTCCGTCAGCTGTATTTGGGGGTGCTGGTAACTTCAAATGCCACGTGCACTTCACCTGTGCTCCATATGCAGCACGGACGCGAGGGGGAACGATGAGGAGGGAGGACAACGGAGGAGAAAGAGAGGGTGAGGAAGAAAAGAAGAGGAAAGTGAGGAAGAAGGGTGGGAAGAGAGGGCGAGGAAGACTGGAACAGGGCACGGGAAATGTAGATCTTGGGGGGGGTGAGCATAGGAAGGAGGAAGGAAGGAGGAGGAGGAGGAGGAAGAAAAGAGGGGAAGAGAGGGTGGGGGGGGGTGAACATATATATATATATATATATATACACATATATATACATACATATATACATACATATATCTATATATACACATATATATATGTACATATTTATATACATATGAAAGAGCGTGATCCAACGCATTGTTGCTTTGCTGTCGAAAATGCTCCCCTTCCTCCGAACCCCGGGTTCCCCCCGCCACCCCCTTCCGAAAATCCCGCCCGTACCCCTGATAACCCCTCCCCACCCCTCCCCCCTCTCCCGGCAGCCCCCCCCCCAAAACACCCCCCCACGCCCCTCCGGAAAACGAGAGGGGGTCATTACCAATTCGAACCCCCCCCCCGGTCACTATCGGTTCGAACCCCCCACCCCACCCCACTCGCTGCTGGCAAACGACTGCCCAGTCCCCACCACCGTCCTCACCAGCGCCCAGACCACTGTCCCCACCACCACTGTCCCCAATACTGTCCCACTGTCCCCACTGATCCCGCCACTGTCCCACTGTCCCCACTGTTCCCACAACTGTCCCCACTGTCCCCACCAGTGCCCCCACCACTAACGCTCTGTCCCCACTGTCCCCACCACTGTCCCCACCACGGTCCCACTGTCCCCACTGTCCCCACTGTCCCACTGTCCCCACTGTCCCCACCGCTGTCCCACTGTCCCCACTGTCCCAACCACTGTCTCACTCTCCCTGCTGTCCCCACCACTGTCCCCACTGTACCACTGTCCCATTGTCCCACCATCGTCCTCACCACCGTCCTCACAACTGTCCCCAGCACCACCGTCCACACCACTGTCCCGATGTTCCCACTGTCCCCAGCACTGTCCCACTGTCCCCAGCACTGTCCCACTGTCCCCTCACCACTGTCCCCACCACCACTGTCCCCACTGTCGCACTGTCCCTACTGTCCCCACCACTGTCCCCACTGTCCCCACCACTGTCCCACTGTCCCCACTGCTTCCACTTCTGTCCCACTGTCCCCACCAGTGCCCCCACCACTGTCGCACTCTCCCCACTGTCCCCACCACGGTCCCCATCACGGTCCCACTCTCCTCACTATCCCCACTGTCCTCCCCACTGTCCCACTTTCCCCAGTCCCCACCACTGTCCCACTGTCCGTACTGTCCCCAACTCTGACCCACTATGCTGCCCCACTGTCCCTACTGTCCCCACCACTGTCCCAATGTCCCCACTGTCACAATCACTCATCCCACTGTACCGCCACTGTCCCCTCACCACTGTCCCCACCACCACCGTCCACATCATTGTCTGCACTGCCCCAGTTTTCCCCACAACTGTCCCACTGTCCCCTCTCTTCCCACCACTGTCTGCACTGTCCCCGCCAGTGCCCCCCCCTTTCGCACTGTCCCCGCTGTCCCAACCACTGTCCGCACCACGGTCCCACTCACCACACTGTCCCCACTGTCCCCACCTCTGTCCCCACCACGGTCCCACTGTCCTCACTCCCCACCACTATCCCAACCACCGTCTCAACTACTGTCCCCACCACGGTCCCCCCTCCTGCGTGGGGGGGGACAGCGGGTCGCCTGCCGGCGGCGAGGAAGGGAGGGGGTAGGGGATTCGAACCGGTAGTGACCCTCCCCCCTATTCATGATGATGGACCAAGGGGGGGTGGGGGATTGTAACCTCCAGTGACCCCACCCCAGTTTTCTGCCAGCACAGCAGAACACGCTCTTTCATATATATGTTTATGTAAGTATAAACATATATACATATATATACATATATACATATATATATGTATACATATATATGTATATCAACCCATCCACTGATTGGGGATCCTCACTGGTGCAATGCTCAACATTCTAATCGTGAATGTGTAAAGCAACCCTAAATGATGACTACATTTTGCTTAAAAAACTCCGTCCGTGTAACATTTGCAACCATTTAACACTAATGTGCGCAACGTCAATACGAGGGGTCAATGTTCAAACGGAACCGCCCTCCGCCTTTGTAGCTGTCGCAAGCTTGTAGGGCCAATGTGCGCGGCGCCGAAACGGGAAATGCATTTTGAAAAGGACCCACCCTTCATCCGTGTAACGGCTGCAAGCTGTTGAATCAAATGTGCAAGGCACCAAGGCGAACACCCAATTTCAAACCACTCTCAATCCTGGTGCCTGTTGAAAGCTGTTGAGGCCAGCGCAGGCGGCGCTAAGGCGAGAGTCCAATTGTGAAACAAATTAGAAATGAGTAAAGCAACAATTACCCTGACGACTTACACAACCCTTTCGCAATGCGGGGCATAAGTACATCAGGATTGCTACAACGGGGGCAATGGCGTAACATGGACGCCTGTGATTTTGCGAGCAGCAATCGGAAGGCTCGCAGGCATCCGATCAAGATCCAAGGGCTACGTAATAACAGATCACCCCCGTTGGCTGTGCCATGCGCCCGTTGCACCCAGCGTATCCCACATCAGCTCTTGAGAACCACCGTGGGACACGTGCAGGCGCATCGTTATGGCCATCGCCCGGCAGGTGGTCTGTTTCACACATCACCCCCGCTGGCGTTGCCATGCGCCCGTTGCGCCCAACGTATCCACAGCAGCTCTCCAAAGCCCCCCAGGGACGGCGAAGTCTCGCTCAGATCCCCGCGGTGCCTCACTCCGCAGGACCCACCAGCAGCCCCCGAAAGTGGCGACAAGCATCGCAGATCGCAACCCCCCAGGGACGGCGAGGTCTCGCTCAGATCCCCGCGGTGCCTCACCCCGCAGGACCCACCAGCAGCACCCGAAAGTGGCGACAGCATCGCAGATCGCAGCCCCCCAGGGACGGCGAGGTCTCGCTCAGATCCCCCGCGGTGCCTCACTGCGCAGGACCCAGCAGCAGCCCCCGAAAGTGGCGGCAGCATCGCAGGTCGCAGCCCCCCAGGGACGGCGAGGTCTCGCTCAGATCCCGTTGGTGCCTCACCCCGCAGGACCCATCAGCAGCCCTCGAAAGTGGCGACAACGTCGCAGATCGCAGCCCCCCAGGGACGGCGAGGTTTCGCTCAGATCCCCGCGGTGAATCACCCCGCAAGACCCACCAGCAGCCCCCGAAAGTGGCGACAGCATCGCAGGTCGCAGCCCCCCAGGGACGGCGAGGTCTCACTCAGATCCCCGCGGTGCCTCACCCCGCAGGACCCACCAGCAGTCCTCGAACGTGGCGACAGCATCGCAGATCGCAGCCCCCTAGGGACGGCGAAGTCTCGCTCAGATCCCCGCGGTGCCTCACTCCGCAGGACCCACCAGCAGCCCCCGAACGTGGCGACAGCGTCGCAGATCGCAGCCCCGACGGCGAAGTCTCGCTCAGATCCCCGCGGTGCCTCACCCCGCAGGAC